GGCGGAGCTTGCAGTGAGCCGAGATTGCGCCACTGCACTCCAGCCTGGGTGACAGAGCGAGACTCTGTCTCAAAATAAATAAATACATAAATAAATAAATAAATAAATAAATAAAGCAATATCATTTTCACAGGGAACGTTACCTAGGAACCTTGCTACAGGTAGAAGGGATGTTAAAGACTTGGTTTCCACATATAGCTGCCCAGAAGTCGTCATTGAGTGGTGGCAAGCATCAGCTGACCAAGGTAAGAACTTAAGAACATGAGGAAGTGGTGGGAAAATAGCCAAGGAAATGAAATGTGCATGCAGAAATGTCCCCTTTTGCCATTTTCTTTTGAATCTTTTCTTCAAGTTTCTTTTCAGGGAAGGAAATTCCTAAACTTTCTGCATTGTCTTGATTCCTATATGTTTTTTGTTGTTTGTTTGTTTGTTGTTGTTTTGTTTGAATCACTGAGAAGAACTCCATGAAGTTTAATCCTATCCCTCATGCCACAGCTTGTCTGCTTTCTGCATAGATACAAAAGGCTTTTTACCTGGCCAAATGATTCATGCGGGAAGATACCTCAGCTTCTCTCTGCAAACTCTTTTTTCCCTACTACCCCCAAACCCTTCCCCTCTCCTTCTTTTCATTTCTGCCCAAGTATCCTTGTGCCAAACCCTTAGAAAGTTTTTGAGTCTACACTGGGTTTCAAGGGCTGGTCATAAGAGGTACATCACTGGAAGTGGGAGAGGGAGGCACTAATAGCAGCAGTGTTGATAGATTCTTAGACCTGGTACAGAAGTGACCTATTTTCGGCTGGGCGTGGTGACTCACACCTGTAATCCCAGCACTTTGGGAGGCCGAGGTGCATGGATCATGAGGTCAGGAGTTCGAGACCAGCCTGGCCAAGATGGTGAAACCCTGTCTCTACTAAAAATACAAAAATTTGCTGGGCGTGGTGGCGCACGCCTGTAGTCCCAGCTACTTGGGAGGCTGAGGCAGGAGAATTGTTTGAACCCGGGAGGCAGAGTTGCGGTGAGCCGAGATCACGCCATTGCACTCCAGCCTGGGCAACAAGAGTGAAACTCTATCTAAAAAAAAAAAAAAAAGAAATGACCTATTTTCTGTCCTCAAATAATAGGGTATATAGAGGGCATTCAAATGATGGAGAAGGAGAGTCTCCTGTAGATAATCACCAGTCCTAATTTTCAGTCAGCCATGGTTATTATTGCTGTGACTCATCTATTAAAAAATAAGTAGGCCAGGCACAGTGGTTCACGCCTGTAATCTTAGCATTTTGGGAGGCCAAAGCAGGTGGATTGCTTGAGCCCAGGAGTTTGAGACCAGCCTGGGCAACATGGTGAAGCCCAGTATCTACAAAAAATACAAAAAGTAGCTGGGCATGGTGGTGTGCGCCAGTAGTCCCAGCTACTTAGGAGGCTGAGGTGGGAGGATCTCTTGAGCTTGGGAGGTCAAGGCTGCAGTAAGCCATGATTGTGCTAGCCTGGTTGACAGAGTGAGACCCTGTGTCAAGTATAAAATTAAAAACATATATAGGAGGAGGATCTTGCCTGAATAGTAATTTACGCTTCTTAAAGAACTCAAGATAGAATATTCAAATTTAAATACAGAATTTGGGAAATGATGATTCCAATTAAAAATAGACTTCAAAGAAATTCTAAAAGGGATTATTTTATAAATAGTGAGAACCTATGGAACTGTTTGTTTTTTGTTCATCTCTGGATATCCAGTGTCTAATATAGTGTGTGGTCCATAATAGACCATTTATTTTTTGAATAAATGCAAGTATAATTTAGTTACTAAAACTTTTACTTAATCATGGCCTGGCAAGATCATATCTGCTGCGTAAAACGAGGTATGTTTGTATTACAAACTGAGTTCCCAAGGAATGCAAAGGTTTAAGTAACCGGGTGGAGCTCATCTGAAAGCTTTCTCCACATTTATTTTTCTCATTTCTCCCCTCCGTAGCATTTTCCAAGCCACCACAGTGATTCAGCCGCTTCCTCTCCTGCATCTCCTATGGAAAAGATGGACCAGACACAGCTAGGACATCTAGCTTTAAAACCAAAGCAGCCTTGGCACCTCACAGAATGGCCAGCTATGAACCTTACCTGGATCCACACCACTCCAATTTGCAACCCCCCTCTCAGCTCCCCAGGTACTATCTCCTTTAGCCATGGTCCTTTAGGCACTGGAACCGGTATTGGCGTCATTCTTTTCCTACAGCATGGAGTGCAACCCTTCACCCACTCTGCCCCAGCCACTCCAGTCCCACCTACTACAGCATCTCCTGTCATCCCTGGTGAGCCTATGAAACTATCTGGAGAGGGGCCTCGTTGCTACAGTTTGCCAGTAACTCTGCCATCAGACTGGAGCTATACCCTATCCCCTCCCAGTCTACCCACCTTGGCCAGGGAGATGACCAAAGGACACCGGGAGCAGCAGAGAAGCCATGCTCCAGTTGCTCCTGATGCTCATCTTCTCAACCTCTAGCCCGGGGCATACAGCTGTCCACTGTGATTCCTAATTTGTGTAAATATTCATGTATATATGTATTTTTACTTTTAATGTGTGCATTTGTGTTGAGGAAGACAAATCCTTTCTGATTAAAGAAATTTTTTTATACCTAAACAGTTTGCTGATTGGGGGAAATTGAAAACTTTCTGCCTCCAAAACCAATCCGTATCCTCTGAGCTGCAGTAAAAGTAGAAAAGGGATGGGGATGTTTGTGAACATGAGCTCTACCAAGTTAGAGTCTGGATGACAATATAAGACTTATGGGAGAAGGGGACTCTACTGCTATTTTCCTAGGGAACATCCTTGAAACAGTTAGAGTTCAGATTTGGGTTTATGGGTTTTTTTTGTTGTTGTGTTTTGAGATGCAGTCTCGCTCTGTTTCCCAGGCTAGAGTGCAGTGACACAATCTCGGCTCACTGCAACCTCTGCCTCCTGGGTTCAAGCGATTTTCAGGCCTTAGTCTCCTGAGTAGCTGGGGTTACAGCACATGCTACCATGCCTAGCTAATTTTTGTATTTTTGTAGATATGGGGTTTCACTACACGTTGGCCAGGATGGTCTCGAACTCCTGACCTCAAGTGATTCGCCCACCTCAGCCTCCCAAAGTGCTGGGATTACAGGTGTAAGCCCTGGCGCCCGGCCGGGTTTATGTTTTCATTCAGGCTTAGACACTATACCTTTCCCTTTGTTTTGACACCTTTGTAATCTTCCAGCTGGCCCAGACTTGCAGGTTCTGCTCTGGGCTAGCTCTTTGCTTTGATGGGAGCTGTTGATGCCTGTAGTAAACACATATGTAGGTTTCTGCTGCCAGAGGAGGAACACAAGAGCCAAAACAGCCACTGTGGTTGCCAGTTGTAAAGAGGAAAGGGCTCCCTAGAATTGTCAGACTTGGGAACACCTCAAGACACTAGGCTTCATACTTACTCAAAAAGCTGCAGCTAGGCCAGGCACAGTGGCTCATGCCTGTAATCCCAGCACTTCGGGAGGTTGAGGTGGGCAGATCACTTGTGGTTAGGAGTTTGAGACAAGCCGTGGTGAACATGGTGAAACCCTGTCTCTACTAAAAATATTATAAAATGAACCGGGCATGGTGGTGGGTGCCTGTAATCCAAGGTACTCGGGAGGCTGAGGCAGGAGAATCACTTGAACCTGGAAAGTGGAGGTTGTAGTGAGCCAAGATCACGTCACTGCCCTCCAGCCTGGGCGACAGAGTGAGACTCTGTCTCAAAAAAAAAAAAAAAGAAAAAAAGCTGCAGGTGCTAGATGTATGCTGGACTAAGGAAGGCAACTCAGTGTTAGGAGGAGGCAAAAATGAAGACCTCGAATGGATCTATAACTACCCTTGTTTGTATATTACCCTCTTTCTGATTTGTCTCACTTTCCACCAAAACCATTTCCTCTCCCATCCTAATCCTTTGTAGGGCATCAGGCTTCTCTGACAACTTAGTCATTGCTTTTTGCTCTTTAGTGTGATTCTCAAAAGTAGTTACACATCTTTCACCCATTCTCAAGTCTTCTGTTCTCAGGGAATAATTGCCTCCCCTTATTTTCAGAGAATATGACCTCCTTTTAAAGGCAAACCTATCGATCTGTGCTTCTGATTACCTTCACCCCTGGAACTTTTGCTGTGTCACATATCCCCTCTTTATCTTGTAACTTCAGTTTGTCCCAACAACATTTATTTGTCCAAGTATCACAAGTATGATCAGACTAGAGTGGTGGCAATGGAATGCTTTGATTACAAATATGATCAGATCCTTCCTCCTTGAAAACATATCTTAAGGCTGATTGTCCTCTTATTTTCTCCATAATTCTCGACAAGGTAGTCTATTTATACTCTTTCTGATTCCTTTCTGCCACTCAGTCCTTAACCTCTTGCAGCCTAGCTTCCACTGCTTTCACTTTGTTGCACCTTCCAAAGTTAATAATGAGCCCACAGAACCAGTATTATAATCTAGCTTCCCCCTAATCAACAGCTATACCCTTTACAAAGGCTATGTACATTATGCTGTCTGTATCATTTGACACTCGATGCTGCCTACTGAAACACTCCGCCCTCAGATCCCATGACAGCACACTATCCTAATCCTTCTCTTACCTATCTGGCAGCAATGTCTAGGTTTCTTAAGGGCCCCACTTCAACCTACTCCAAAGTGTGGGTGTTCCCCTAGGCTCAGGCCTTGGCCCTTTTCTCTGACTACATTCTTTTGTGGCTTTAATTATTGCTTCAACTTAGAAGACTGCTACCGCTTTATCTCTAGTCCCAGTCTTTCCCCTGAGATGGCATACTGAGTGTTTAAGTTTCTGTTGGACAGTTTTATTTACATATTGCTGATACTTAAACATTATTGAAACTTTCAGTGTTTTAGAGCCAAGACATGCCTCTTGGCTGGGCACGGTGGCTCACGCCTATAATCCCACCTGAGGCGGGTGGATCTCTGGAGGTCAGGAGTTCAAGACCAGCCTGGTTGACATGGGGAAACCCAGTCTCTACTAAAAATACAAAAATTAACTGGGTGTGGTGGTGCACATCTGTAATCCCAGCTACTCAGGAGGCTGAAGCACGAGAATTGCTTAAACCTGGGAGGCGGAGGTTGCAGTGAGCTGAGATTCACCACTGCATGCCAGCCTGGGTGACAGAGTAAGACTCCCTCTCAAAAAAAAAAAAAGAAAAATGCCTCTTGTACATCCAGTTCAACCCAACCTCCTCATTTGATACATAAAGAAACTTAGGGCCAGGCGCGGTGGCTCACGCCTGTAATCCCAGCACTTTGGGAGGCCAAGGCAGGTGGCCCACCTGAGGTCGGGAGTTCGAGACCAGCCTGACCAACATGGAGAAGCCCTGTCTGTACTAAAAATACAAAAAAAAAATTTTTTAAATTAGCCAGGTGTGGTGGCGCATGCCTGTAATCCCAGCTACTCCGGAGGCTGAGGCAGGAGAATCCCTTGAACTTGGAAGGCAGAGGTTGCGGTGATCCGAGATTAAGCCATTGCACTCCAACCTGGGCAACAAGAGTGAAACTCTGTCTCAAAAAAAAAAAAAGAAAAGGGAAAGAAAAGAAAAGAAATGAAACTTAGGAGACTTATCTAGGACAACATGATGTGTGGAACAGAACTTGGTTTCCAGTCTGATGTGTTTTCCAGTAATCACCAATCAAATTATTCTTTCCTGAAAACATGTCCTG